GGAACCATAGGACCCATTGGAAAAATATGTGTATAATGGTTGAAAGGCTTTCGGAATCTTGTGTGAAAACATTTATAAAAAGACCTACTTTTGTTTCTAGTGGGCTCAACGTTCAGAAAAAAGACAAATAAAATGTCACTGTAGTACATTACTGGAAATGTTTTTTTAGGTGTCTTCATTATTATTACATTGATTGAACTAAATTCGTATATAGTCAGGAAATGCGCTTTTATTGGATACGGAGCCATTCTTTTACGTATCTCACTGCACATTAAACCAATAAAAGGGGTTTAGTATTACCAGAGAGTCAGATAATGGGGCTGATACATAACAGTGGTAAGCAAGTTAAAGCAAAGGAATAGCACTCACTGCTCACCACTGGTACCTTTTGATCCTGTTTCTGCTCCCCCAGCACCCAACCAGGCCTAAAAAAGTTCATGACTCCATCCATAATGCTTTCAGCTGTAATGCCAGTGATATCAGCAGCTTAGATCTCTTTGAAAGAAAAAGAATAATTCTTAGAGCTATCATCAGAGGAAACTTTCTAAGCCAGGTTTAAATGAACATCTTACTGTAAACTCTGGATGCCAGTGAGAGCAGACTACTCCGAACTGACAATAAAGTGGTTCTTCATTTAAAAGGAGATTTATGAGGTGAATGATTTACACTCAGCCTCATGTAACTGTCACACGTCGGCTCAATGGATCGGGAAGTGAGCGAACACATACCGTCACTCGCTCAATTCTCGATCGTGTGCCTGCAGAGAACTGTGACTGTTAGTCACTGCTCCCTGCAGGGATTCCTCCCCTCCAGCGCTGACTGGAGGAACGGACAGGGGAGAGCCAGCTGTCATTCATGCAGCTGGGTGGATCTCAACAGCATTGTCGGGATCTGTCCCGGCTGCAGTGGTCTCAGTATACCGCGAGCGGTAGCTCACAATATATTGAGCTTTGGGTCACGGGAGGAGGTTAGTAAATGTCCTCCCGTGACCCGTAAGAGAACTATAGGGAAAAACACTTACCCCATTGTTCTCTTTTAAGAAGACATACAACTCTATCTAGAATCAATCGAATGCCTTATCTAGTCCCTTTGAAATACTATTACACATTTCACAGCTCCATCAGTAAAGAACTCTTCCTGCAGCTAGAGATTAAAAAAAAAAAAATTCTTAGTGCCCTAAAGTGTATTTCCACTTTTGCACCCTTTTTATTAGACATGTGTGATTTGTTTCGTTCCTCATGAATGAGTAAGGGGTAGTTGTTATCCCTACTCATTCACCAAATAAACAGTCAAATAGAATATAAACACACCACACCATAAAAAAGTCCTTTATTTGAAAAAACAAAACAAAAAAACACAAAATACGACCAAGCAGACGAACGCTCCCCACAAAATGACAGCTCTGACCCAAATGTCAACAAAGGGGTGGAGCGAGTTGTGGCATCATGGGACTTGTTCCGCCCCTTTGTTGACATTCTGGAGCAGAGCTCCCAAATGCTATTTTAGACAATTGAGCGCTTGCAACTGTGGCAACAGTGTGGAGAAGGCCCATTCCGGTCCCAGCACACCGTGTACAAAGCCAAGCCCATAAAGATATGGTTTGCTGAATCTGTGTTCTTACTGGAAACACACAACAAAAAAGAAATCTACTTTTTTTAAAATGTTTTATATATAAATACCTCCCAGACTTGTGTTATATGGTAAATCCCAGCCATGAGACATCTAATAATTGCTGACACTGCAGTCTGACACTAATCCAATATGTAGGTATGATTTCTGTGCTTTCATTTGCTGATAATTAGTGCAGAAAGCAAGTAACAGTGCATCAGTTACCACACCACTGGCATCAGTTAAACATTAATATGTAAGGTTAATATTCTAAACAATTATTATAATGCTTTGGCTGTGTCATGAATTGGAGCTGAAACTTTTTTTCCTTCAATACCTATACACGTTACCATTATCATACAAAAGAGAGAAGAATAATAAGCACTCATCTGCACACAAACTTATAATTGTTCGTCGTGGGGTGCCATTGATTACCAGGTTCATTTTCTGCAGTCACAAGGTTTAAAGGAGAACTATGAGGTGAGTGCTTTTCACTCACCTCATAGTTCTAGCCGACCTGTGACAATGAGACTGTCACAGGTTGGCTCAGTAGATCGGGAGGTGAGTTAACACATAACGGCGTTCGCTCACCTCTCGATCCTGTCACAGCTCTCTGCCGTGACAGGGGAGGGGCTGCATTCCCCCCTCCGATCTGCCAGCGCTGACTGGCGGAACGGACAGGGAGGGGGTGGGTACAGCTGGCTCTGCCTCTAGATAGGCAGAGCCAGCTGTCAGTCACGCAGCTGGGCGGATCCCGGCACAATTGTCGGGATCTGCTTCAGCTGTGGCATCTCAGTATACCGCGAGCAGCAGCTCGCGGTATACTGAGCCTAGGGTGACGGGAGGACGCTAGTTTGTGTCCTCCCGTTACCCTAAGGAGAACTATGGGGAAAAGCCTAAACCCCATAGTTCTCCTTTACAGTAATGGTGCTTTCAGAGACACTAACACAGGGGAGGGCAATCCTGGCCTTCCAGCTGTGCTTTCATTACAAATCCCCTGCCTCTGGGAGTAATGTAAAACTGTCAGTCTTGCAATGCTTCATGGGGATTGTAGTTCCACAACAGCTGGAGGGCATGAATTACCCACCCCTGCCCTAAGTCAAACCACATTGAGGGGAATTTACTAACACTGGAGCAGACAGAATCTGGAGCAGCTTTGTATGTCTACCAATCAGCTTCTAGCATTCATCTTCAAAGCTTAACTGAACAAACTGAAGAGAGGAGCCGATTGGTTACTTCTATTGCACCACCAGCACTCCCACCTGATAACGTGCACCGCCAACACCAAATCCCCGTAACATGCACCGCCAGCACCCCCACCTGATAACGTGCACTGCCAACACGAAATCCCTGAAACATGCACCGCCAGCAATCCCACCTGATAACGTGCGCCGCCAGCACCCTCACCTGATAACGTGCACCGCCAGCACTCCCACCTGATAACGTGCGCCGCCAGCACCCTCACCTGATAACGTGCACCGCCAACACCAAATCCCCGTAACATGCACCGCCAGCACCCCCACCTGATAACGTGCACTGCCAACACGAAATCCCTGAAACATGCACCGCCAGCAATCCCACCTGATAACGTGCGCCGCCAGCACCCTCACCTGATAACGTGCACCGCCGGCACCCCCACCTGGCAACGTGCACCAACTCCAAATCCCCGTAACATGCCCGCCGGCACCCCCACCTGGCAACGTGCACCAACTCCAAATCCCCGTAACATGCCCGCCGGCACCCCCACCTGGCAACGTGCACCAACTCCAAATCCCCGTAACATGCCCGCCGGCACCCCCACCTGGCAACGTGCACCAACTCCAAATCCCCGTAACATGCCCGCCGGCACCCCCACCTGGCAACGTGCACCAACTCCAAATCCCCGTAACATGCCCGCCGGCACCCCCACCTGGCAACGTGCACCAACTCCAAATCCCCGTAACATGCCCGCCGGCACCCCCACCTGGCAACGTGCACCAACTCCAAATCCCCGTAACATGCCCGCCGGCACCCCCACCTGGCAACGTGCACCAACTCCAAATCCCCGTAACATGCCCGCCGGCACCCCCACCTGGCAACGTGCACCAACTCCAAATCCCCGTAACATGCCCGCCGGCACCCCCACCTGGCAACGTGCACCAACTCCAAATCCCCGTAACATGCCCGCCGGCACCCCCACCTGGCAACGTGCACCAACTCCAAATCCCCGTAACATGCCCGCCGGCACCCCCACCTGGCAACGTGCACCAACTCCAAATCCCCGTAACATGCCCGCCGGCACCCCCACCTGGCAACGTGCACCAACTCCAAATCCCCGTAACATGCCCGCCGGCACCCCCACCTGGCAACGTGCACCAACTCCAAATCCCCGTAACATGCCCGCCGGCACCCCCACCTGGCAACGTGCACCAACTCCAAATCCCCGTAACATGCCCGCCGGCACCCCCACCTGGCAACGTGCACCAACTCCAAATCCCCGTAACATGCCCGCCGGCACCCCCACCTGGCAACGTGCACCAACTCCAAATCCCCGTAACATGCCCGCCGGCACCCCCACCTGGCAACGTGCACCAACTCCAAATCCCCGTAACATGCCCGCCGGCACCCCCACCTGGCAACGTGCACCAACTCCAAATCCCCGTAACATGCCCGCCGGCACCCCCACCTGGCAACGTGCACCAACTCCAAATCCCCGTAACATGCCCGCCGGCACCCCCACCTGGCAACGTGCACCAACTCCAAATCCCCGTAACATGCCCGCCGGCACCCCCACCTGGCAACGTGCACCAACTCCAAATCCCCGTAACATGCCCGCCGGCACCCCCACCTGGCAACGTGCACCAACTCCAAATCCCCGTAACATGCCCGCCGGCACCCCCACCTGGCAACGTGCACCAACTCCAAATCCCCGTAACATGCCCGCCGGCACCCCCACCTGGCAACGTGCACCAACTCCAAATCCCCGTAACATGCCCGCCGGCACCCCCACCTGGCAACGTGCACCAACTCCAAATCCCCGTAACATGCCCGCCGGCACCCCCACCTGATAACGTGCACCGCCAGCACCCCCACCTGATAACGTGCACAAAATCCCCTGTGACGTGCACCCCAAGCCACCCCTGTTGTCCTCCACACCCATCCTCCTCCACAGTGCACACTGCCCCCACTCCTATCCTCCTCCATAGTGCACACTGCCCCCACTCCCATCCTCCTCCATAGTGCACACTGCCCCCACTCCGATCCTCCTCCATAGTGCACACTGCCCCCACTCCCATCCTCCTCCATAGTGCACACTGCCCCCACACCCATCCTCCTCCATAGTGCACACTGGCAGTTCCTGCACACGTGGCACTTTATCCGTCCGTTCTATGACGTGCAGCAACACACAGGAAGCAGCATGGAGTGCTGAGTCGGCCATGTACAGCGAGGAGGAGAGCGACCTGAATGATGTGTTGCCTCAGGATGTGGGGTCCCTCTTCTCGGACACATACACGGAGGAAAGCCGCTATGAGTTCTGCGGTCACCGGCTGCTCATCACTCAGCACTACGGGTGTCACCTGGGGGTGGCGGCTCCGGTGTGGGACGCTGTGAGTACCGGGAGGGGAGACAGGCACAGTCCACCTTGTATACACATTCATCACACCCACTTCTGATTATAATTGGAGGCTGTAGAGCATTCCACCTCCGATAATAACAATACACATCTGCATTGGAGACTGCAGAACATTCCACCTCCGATAATAACAATACACATCTGCATGGGAGGCTGCAGAGCATTCCACCTCCGATAATAACAATACACATAAGCATTGGAGGCTGCAAAGCATTGCAACCGTGGTGCTCAGGCCTCCTAGTTTACACCCCAGCCCCAGGTCACAGACTTTGCATCTACAGATACCTGGAAATGAATGACACAACAAATACAAACCAGAAGTGAAGGCTGTAGGGAGAAGCACCCCACGATTCAGGTAAGTGGCGGTGGTTTGAGGAATTGGGAGTGTGATTAGGTTTGATGTTACACCCTAAATATGCATAGAACATGAAGCATGGAGGAATCCTGACCTTCTCTCTGTTTGTCCTGTTGACCATTATCACCAAGACTTAAAGGAGAACTATGGGGTAAGTGTTTTTCCCCATAGTTCTCCTAAAGGTCACAGGAGGACATATACTAACATCCTCCCGTGACCCAAAGCTCAGTATATCGCGAGCTACAGCTCACTGTATACTGAAACCGCCGCAGCTAGGACGGATCCCGACATTACTATTACCGACATTACTGTCTAGAACCACCCAGCTGCGTTAGGGCTTTTCCCCATAGTTCTCCTAAGGGTAACGGGAGGACACAAACTAGCGTCCTCCCGTCACCCAAAGCTCAGTATACCGCGAGCTTCAGCTCGCGGTATACTGAGACGCCGCAGCTGAAACGGATCCCGACAATTATGTCTGGATCCACCCAGCTGCGTGAGTGACAGCTGGCTCTGCCTATCTAGAGGCAGAGCCAGCTGTACCCGCCCCCCGTCAGTTCCTCCAGTCAGCGCTGGAGGATCTGAAAGAGGAGGGGGTATCCCCTGCGGGGAGCGGTGACTGACAGTCAGGGCTCTCTGCAGGGAAATGATGGGAAAGTGAGTGATCGAGCGCCGATATGTGTTCGCTCACTTCCCGATCTATTGAGCCGACCTGTGACAGTCTCATTGTCACAGGTCGGCTTGAACTATGAGGTTGAGTGAAAATCACTCGCCTCATAGTTCTCCTTTTAAAGTAGAAGAAAAGGCTCCCCAATATCTTAATTCATGACTCTCCTCTGCTCTGACCCTCTCTGCCTATATTATGTAATATGTTGGGGGGAATTTACGAAAGCCGGAGCAGACAGAATCTGGAACAGTTGCCCATAGTAACCAATCGCTTCTCTCTTCAGTATGTTCAGTTAAGCTTTGAGAATGAAAGAGAGAAGCTCATTGGTTGGCATGCACAGCTGCTCCTGTTTTGATAAATTCCCCCTAATGCTTTGCTAATACTGTTTATTATAGGGATGCACCGATACTAGTATCAGTGCCAATACCGAGTATTTGGACGAGTACTCGTGCTTCCCCAATGCTCCCGATACGTGCCACCTGGCTTCCTGATTGGTGGTGAAGCCAGTGTTCTTTCCATAGAACATCGGCTTCCCAGGCAATCAGAAGCTGGATGGTGTTCGGTATCGGCGAGTACTGGAAATAAATATTGGAACTAGTTCTTGATACCAAAACCCCGGTATCAGCGCATTTGCGTTGGGGTCACAAGAGTGTAAAGTTCTGATGCTTCTCTGTACTGTGGAGTGTCTGACAAAGGTGCAGAATCGGCTGTAGCTGTGACGTCATCCCACCGGTATCCATAGCTCCCCGGGTTGCCAGGAGATGAATTACTGCCCACCAGCCACAGACAGAGGGACGGGCTGGAGCTTTGCCCAGAAGAGATGTACAAAAAATTCAGAAAGTGACTTATTAGAGACGTAGGCAGAGAGGATCAGAGCATAATTACACACGTAAATGATTGGGTAGCCTTTTCTTCCCTGTCACTTATAAAAGAAGTCCATCTATAGCATCAGTGGGCAAACTCCAGCTGTGGTGAAACTACAAAACCTATCATGCATCTTTCTCTGGGAATGCCTCCCAGTGGGAGAATCTTGCAATGCCTTGTGGGATTTGTAGCTCCACAGCAGCTGGAAGGTCAGAGTTTGCCCGCCCCGATCTATAGTTACTTTTTTGGCAGAACATGTCTCAACCCCAACTGCTTCATTGCTCCCTGGCTGCTGCAGGCATTCCACACTTCCGGGTGTGTACATACCTGCTCGTACGTCACTACAGGTTGTATGGGCCGACCAGGGGAACAGGTACTCGAAGCAGTGACGTTTCAAGGCATGGGCCTCCGGAAAGGTAAGTATAGATGGGCTTATTTTACAGGGCTGGCCTTTTTTAAGTGGCAGGGTCACTTTATGTCCTGGTGACAATGGTCTCCCCCGCAGGATCACAAGCAGCAAAAAAATGCGGCGGTGTTGCTGATACTCCTACACTCTGCTCAAAACAAAAAATAGGTGCTTTAAATGCAACGATACCGGTATTTTGGTACCGAGTACCGATATATTTTTTTGGCACTTGCCGATACCAAATACCGAGTACCCATTCCCATTCAGGAAGCCAGGCGGTGTGTAATGACTCGCCACCTGGCTTCCTGATTAGCCGGCAGCGTGTAAGGACTCGCCACCCGGCTTCCCGATTAACAAGGAAGCTGTCCCAAGCATGGCGCCGGCTTGCTGGCCAATCATGGAAGCCGGGCGCCGCATATGGCGCGGCGTCCTGATTGCCTGGGAAGCCGGCTCCATGCTCCCTCGTCATGACATGACGACGGTGCGTGAAGCCGGCATCCCGGACAATCAGAAAGCCGGGCGCTGCATCATTACACGCTGCCCGGCTTCCTGATTGGCCGGAAGTCGGCTCCATGTTCTCTCGTCACAAGTGGCGCTGGCCGGCTTCCTGGCACAGGAAGTATCGGGCTTGGCATCGGAGCATTTGGGCAAATACACTTTAACTGCGTGCTGATTGATGTGCTGTGGCTTAGAAATAGCATGGTTGTTTCAGTCCTGTGTTACTCTCTAGTTGTTAGTAAGGCATTGTATTAATTTCTGCTGATTTTATATTCCAGGCTCTGAATTTGTGCTCTTACTTTGAAAAGCAGAAAGTGAACTTCAAAGGAAAGAATATTATCGAGCTGGGTGCTGGAACGGGGATTGTGGGGATTCTGCTATCTTTACTAGGTATGTCAGCGAGAGACGCATTGCTTAGTGGTTACTGTCTGACCCACGTATATCAAATAAAATCTGCTATACTCATAAACCTTCAGTCTGTGACGACTGGAAACACATTTCAAATGTGTTTCCAGTTCTGTTTATAAATCCGTTATTAAAACCAAAACTAGAGTGGGGAAGGGTTAGGCTTTTATTGCTGTCTGGGACCCCACTGAAGGGATTTCCTATAACTTCCTGTCCTAGTTACAAGGGGTCACAGGGGCAGGGAGTGATGGGAATTTGTCAAATCAGGACAAAGACTGCAACGAGTAGAGTAGTAGCGTGGGGAGGGCTTTCTTCTCTCTGTGCCTTCCTGTCATGGTGACCCTAGAAAACATAACAGCAGTTCTTACCCGGCTTTGTTCTAACCAAAACTGTACAAAACAATATCTGTCTGGAATTGGGATGTGTACTTTTCTATATCTTCTTAGGATAGAATAATATTGGTTTTGAAAAAGTGAAATGTTATTCTCAAAGTGGTGTCTGCCTTAAAGGGTAATTCCACTTTTCCAGGCGAATTTGGGGAACATGGAATTACCTCCACCAATCACCTGACCACGCTGACCAATGAGAAGTGCTCACCATTTGTGAACGGAATGTAAAATACTGAGCAGCATGGGGTGGGGCAGATGTAGAGCCAATGCTCTCTAAGAATTATAACTGGCATCTAACTTTTGGGGTTTACTTTTGTTGCTGTTAGGGATGCACCGATACTAGTATCAGTGCCGATGCCGAGTATTTGGGCGAGCACTCGTACTTGCCCAAATGCTCCGATGCCTAGCCCAATACTCCCAGTATCAGGAAGCCGTTAGAGCGTCATTACACGCTGTCCAGCTTCCTGATTGGCCGGCAAGCCGGCTCCACGCTCTCTCGTCACTTGTGTAATGATGCGCTGCCTGGCTTCCTGATTGGTCGAAGCTGGACAATCAGGAAGCAAGGCTCCGTGTAATGACGCGGCGCCCGGCTTTCTGATTGGTCGGGAACCCAGCTTCATGTTCCCTCGTCACCTCATGACACAGCGCCTGGCTTCCTGATTGGCCAGAAAGCCGGCTCCATGCTTTCTCATCACCTAGTGACGAGAAGCATGGGGACGGCTTCCCTGCTGATCAGGAAGCCATGCGGCGGGTCTTTACATCCCGCCTGGCTTCCTTAATGGGACAACTGGTATCGGTGCATCCCCAGTTGCTGTAAATGGTCACCAAGACAAATAGAAGGGTGAAGCTCCACGCTGGGGAAAAAGCTGTAAACACTTGACAATGACTAACCCTCTCCTACCCTATACAATTTAACATTTTTATTTTTGTCTGGGTATTTAGCTGTTTCCCGAGAATCAAGAGTTCCGCTTTAAGACATGTTCTATACAAACCAGCTTGTAAAATGTATGTTTTGTGGCTTGTGATGTATTATGTGTATTTTTCATTCCCTGCCATTACTTTTGGTGAAACAAGGTTTGCTGCTGTTAGCATTAATCCATATAGACAGTACATGCTAAGACTGGATTGCCTAGATAAGCAGGTCCCACACCTCTCTGCATGAATCAATGTCATGCCTGTGGTACATCTGAAAGCGGGTATGCACATGTCTGAAACACTGCAAGGTCATTGAAGCCACCACTGCCCAGCCAACACTAAGCGTGCAGTTTTGGGTGAAGTAATTGTCAAGGTGTACAGGAACAGAATTCTCAGGCCTTATTGAATGTCAAGTCTCCAATATAGGGATATGCATGACTAAAGTCTGCTGCAAATAGAACTTATATAAAGCCTACATAACTCAGTGCATTAAAAACAAGTCCCCAATGACTTTTATTAGTAGCGTTCTGCAGCATAGCTACACAAGCCTAGTACAAGTTCAGACATAAGACACCCGAGTGCTATTGCATTTTCTGTTCTCTACAATCTTCTGGTGGGCGGATAAGAAATTTAAGAGGCACTTAGCTAAAGATACATCTTGTCTTTTCGGTTTTCGTTTCCTTAGTTCCACTCTGTAAAAGCTTAAACAGGCCTCTTCTTGTTTGGTAGGAGTAATGGGGCCCATTAACATTATCCATCTGGTGCAGGGAAGGTTCTTCCAAGCATTGTGTGGCTCCTCACATGAACAGAGGAGATGTGAAATGGAATTGCTTAGAATAGCGTAGATACATATTACACCCACATAGGGTTACAGCAAATTAGATGTTCCTTGTGAGTGCTTTGGTGGTAGAAGCATGAGATCTTGTGGATTTATTGCTCATTAATGACTGGAGTCTGATATTAAGAGCCGTTTGCTGCCTCCAAGAGGCTGTTGGGCAGAGTTGTTGTGTTTTCAATCAGCAATTATTTTCTAAATGGAGAGGTTGTATCAGGTCAGACATTTGGCAGACAGTACTGAAGCTTTTAGCAGGTCTGTCTGTGTTAATTGATTTAAAGTTAGTGTATAATAGTAAACAAGTTGTTGATGTGATCTTCGGATCTTCGTTTTATTGCTAAAGGCAGACAGTTTAAATTCTACCTAATCATTTTCTTTGTGTGTGTTACAATAGCCAGAATAAACCTAAAGCCCATCTCCGAGCAAAACTTACACCCCCTGTCACCCCTCCAGCAATTTTTTTGCCTTCTGAAGCATCTTGTACCTGCCTAAATCCACCAGTCATGTCCCTTTGTTTCCGGGTGTGGAGGAATAGCATGATCTACACTGCGCTTGCGCTAACAAAAATACGGCAAATCAATTACCGCATTTCGTCCAGGTGCTTTTCGTTAAAAGTGCCCATACACCTTACCATTATCGGACGAAACTTTTTGTCCGATGATCGAATAGTCGTCCGATTTTCGTACGGCAGCCCCATCCTGCCCCGATGATCGCAAGATTCATTTAGCCGTAATTAACGAAAAGCACCTGGACGAAATGTGGTAATTGATTTGCCGTATTTTCGTTAGCGCAAGCGCAGTGTTGATCATTTGACTTTTGACGGACGAAAACGCCAGCAACCTTACGACAATCGGACGATCTAGCAAAGTTTTCAAACATGCTTGACCGTCAAAAGTCGTACGATTGTACAGTACTGTCGGTCGGACACTGCAATGCACACATACGATTATCGGCCGAAAAGTCGATCGCATCCGAAAATCGTACGATAATCGTAAGGTGTATGGGCACCAGGAACTCTGGCAATTGCCTATGTACGCAGCCTAGGGCGCATTTTGGCTTTCTCAGGCATGCTTTAGAATTTTCCCTCAGTCATAGCTTTCCATGGTGCACGCAAGCCGTCCAACAGTGCCAAGAAAATTAATGACACTAATCCAGGGAGGGTGGGATCCATTCACAAAAGGATGGAATTTCGCCTCTGTCCAGTCCTACTCTGCCCTCTGCCATGCTGCTTTAGCTGTGGC